ACATCGGCACGTCTTCGTCCCCCCCAGAGGGGGCTGCTCCCCTCCCCGTGCCCCCATCGCGCGCGCCGCCAGGGGCAGGGGGGGGAGGGCGCTGCGGCCGAGTCGCGTCGTGCCGGCGCGGCGGCAGCCCCAGCGTGGGCGCTCAAGGACGAATGCCGCCGGTGGCGGGCTTTGGCCGGCATCGAGCGATCTGCGCTGCCGGGCAGCCGCGATCGTTTAGGGTTGAACGTTCCGCGCGGCGTCAGAGGCCAACGCAGAGGTCGTCACGGCACGGACCCGACGTGGGGGCAGGGGAGGGTGGGCCGTGAGCACAAGGGGGCAGGGGAGAGGATGAATGGAGAGGGGAGCAGGGATTGGAAATGCAGGGACAAGGGGAGGGAGGGGCAGAGGTGGGTCAGGAGGGGGGGTCAGGAGGGGAGGATACGAGGGATGGATGACCCCCCCATTCCCGACCACCAACCCATAGCACCATCGTACTGCTCATATGTATCTCTCTCACTATGTGTGTTTTCTCTCCCTCTCTCTCTCTCTCTCTCTCTCTTTCTCTCCCTTGCTCTCTCTCTCTCTCTCTCTCTCTCTCTCTCTCTTCCTTAGCGCTTGCAGAAACTTTTTCGGCAGCCGTTTTCACTACTCGTCTCGTGACGATTTGAACAGAGCGTTCAGACATGGCATGTGGCCATACATATACTTACATGCAGCTGTGCCTAGGCATTTGTGGTTCCACGGATGCTACAGTCAAGAGCCACTCGCAGGATGTGTCCCCAAGAGAGAGAAAAGAGAGAGGAAGAAGGAAGAGTGCGGGGGGCATGGACGAGGGGCATTACGTAGAGGGAGGAAGGGGATGAGGAGATGTTGTTGCTGCACACGGCTGTTGGACACGAATGGGAATGCAAACTAACTCTCCCATCGAATACACGAGCATGCATATACACATGAAAACGTGCCACAGCGCACATAGAGACGAAAGGGACCTAGCGGAGCACCGCACCGAGGGGGCCGAGCGATGGCCGAAAGAGCCAGCCGACGAAGGGCCGAGGGCGCGAACGGCAGGCGAGGGGAGAGGCGAGGCAGGGGAGCGGGCCGCGAAAAATAGCAGGAACCTCGTCGCTGTGTCCGCCGACCACGCCCGTCTAGGTATTTCGAAGGGCCAGTTGCTCTCGGCCGCGCAGCCCGAAGCTCGATGGTCCCAGGCACAGTGCGAGAACACTCTACTGAACCACACATTCGCTTCCAGAGACCAGGAAGGCCACATCATTCAGATCCCCAGTTAGCGTATCAGAACTTATTTCCTCCTCGACCTGGCCAACATGGCGCACATGATGGGGTCCTACGTGCTCATGACGTCCATCCACGCTGGTTCCCCGTCTCCGAAGTATCCCGACGGTGCCGAATCACTCGTCACTGCCGTTCCCATTGATTTGAAGCATTCCCGTATCGATATCTCCATGCCCCTGTCGCCGAGCGCGCACACGATCTTGATCATGTCGTCTTTGCAATGCCCCATGCGGCACAGGCAAAAGTATTCGGGCGACGCGTCCTCCAGCGTGGCGAGCACGCTCGCGATGTGTTCCCTGATCTTGCGGCCGAGCTCCTGCTTGGCTGGCGCCTCCAGCACGACTGCAAGCACCACTTGGGGCAGGGAGGCCCCAGCGTGCGGAGATCCTGCTGCATCGCGGTCGCCTGGTCGCTCGCCACTTCTCCTCGTCGCTTCACCGTATAGGACAGCACCAGCCAATCGGTGTCGATCCTATCCTTCTCGTAGTGGTAACTGGTGCATTGGTGCGACGATCTGCATCTGTGCAACGACGGGCACGTGGTCCAAAACGGCGGCGAAAGCTCGGGCTTGCTCAGCTGTTTTTTTCCATGCTGCCGTCCATCGAATAAAGCCATGTAGTCGATCTACGTAAGATGAAGCGCCTTTGCCTCCGTAGTACGTGTCGCCCACGCGCGTGTCCGTGATGACCGCCATCTTTAGACGTAGCCAAACTCTCATGCGCAAGTTCTCGAGCAAAAGACTTTGGACCTCGCCGCAGTCGCCTACAACAGGCTCGTCCCGGAAGTGCGGAACTAAACCCGTAAGGGCCATCAGCAGCACGGGTGCAGATCTCTGTGGCATATGTAACCTATATTATTTAGCTTTAGCCCAGTCTACCCATGACTTCCACATATCTTTCCAAAGTGGTGTTGCTCCTCGTGCCGGTGGGCGTGGAGGAAACTATAGTGTACAAATCGCTATCATCAGCGGCGTCGATGCCACATAGACAATCCCCCCACGACCTCTTAGTCAGTTCGGTGCCGACATGATATTGCGGAGGCCAGGTGTGCCGAAGAAGCCTTTAGAAAGCGAATGTGAGCACCCACGATTACTGTTCAACAGCCTTGCACGCTCCCATCCAAAATGCCGTCGCTGTATGATGAGCCTCCGTCCACTACGCTCTGACGCAAGCACCTGGCAGGCCAACGATGCCGACACCCCGCAGCGCCTCCGATACGGGCGCCTGCAGGTGCTGCTCCATGCAGTGCCACCAGCAGCCAGAGCACTGGGCCCAGGTGCTGCTCCATGCTGTGCCAGCAGCAGCCAGAGCACCGGGCGCGCCCGCCTGCCCTCGCGAGGGCGATGGGGGGTACCCTGACCGTCATCTCCGCGCGACGGGCGCAGCGGCGCCCATGGCGGCTCTGGACTCCTGGGGAGAGGCTCCGCGGAAGGAGGGCGTCCGCGTCTGGTCGGAGCCTGGGAGGAGGAGGAGGAGGAGGAGGAGGAGGAGAGAAAAGAGGAGGAGGGGGCCGTATTCGGCGATGCCGATGTCAGTGAATAGAGTCGGGCCACTGCCAAGAGCTTCCCCCCTACTACCCCAAGGGCTTACATCCTTAGCCCGCACTCCTGAGGTGGCCTTTGACTTTAGCATGAGGCGCTGCTTGCCTCGACTTTTCATGGCGGTCAAGAAAAAAGCACGCGCGGCATCCTTTCAGCAGCAAGGTACCACAGAGAGTGTAGGTGACGCCATGAAACATCACTACTGATCGGCATGATGGCTTCTCACATTTCGCCTGGCCTGTCAGATGACGCCGCTGATCAGTTGTCTGTTGTTCGGTCTATCACATCACAATGTAGGTATTGCTTAGTGCGTGGCACTCGTATGTTGTTGTCATTGTCTAGCACTGTCGCTGTCGCATTGCAGCTGCGTCGATCACTGAAGACCGTCGCCGAGTCGCGTTACCCGAGGGCGTATGACAACATTCCAGGAGGCCGACACGGCTTCCAGCCTCCTTGCGCGTACACGGGATTGGAATTCACGATGTTCAACCCAGCGTTCGGCTTGGAAAACTTGTCAGTATCGTTCAACCGACCCCTATCCCCGTCCGCATCCCGAGCCCGACGACCTCGGCACCACAGTCTGGAGATGTGCCCCTCGAAGCCTGAAGGGAAAAGCCCGCATCCCCATCCTGGGGGTCAAACCAGCCAGTGGGGCCCGGGCCAGGCCTCTGGGGATAGGGGTCGGTGAAAGGTCGTCGCTGTCGTCGTCCTGCCCAGTCGTCGTCCTCGTCCTCGTCGTCATCGTCGTCCTGCCCGGTCGGCGTCTTGCCAGACTCGCCCGCCCCCGCGCCGCACGCTCGGCCCCTGGTGCCCGAAGCCGCCGCCCTGCGAGGCCCCACGTATGCGACCCGGGCGGCGTTCGCTCTGTCTGCTCGGGCGCGCGCGCGCGCTCTCGTTGGCCTGCGTGGTCTCCGCTCCCCCGCCTGCCCCACTTCTGCTCCATGCCCGCAGCTCTCTCCCCGCGTCCTCCCTCCTTCTCCTGGTCGTCGTCATCCCGCTCCCCCCCCCCCCCCCTCTCCCGCCCTCCCTCCTTCCTGCCCGCCTCGGCTCCTCTCTCTCTCGTCCTCCCCTTCCTGTCTACCTTCCTCCTCCCTCCTGTCTCACCCCTGCGCATCCGCCCATCCCTCCCTCAATCCGTCTCTCCTGCCTCACTATTCGCCCCTCCGTCTCTCTTCTGTCCTCCCCATCCCCCCTCGGTCGTCCTTTCCTTTCTCCTGGTGTCCGTCCTCAATCACGTTTACTACATCCTTCCTCCTTATGAACAACTCCTCCCCTGTCGCATCACCAGACGTGTTCGTAGGGCGTGCCGTGCGTTTCGCGTGAGACTTCCTCACCAGTTACGGTCCTGAAACTTGAAATTTGCAACAGCTACCAGGATGCATAGAGGGCGTTTTCACACTTGAGATCTCGCCTACATTCGCCTTACAGACTTGCAAGAGTTAGATCGGTCGACTCAATTTCAAGATGGGTATCTCGCCTTAGCGCCGCGCGCAGTTGTCGCATAAGTTTGGAACAGTTACAATGATGGAGGGGGTCGTTCTCAAAATGGGGTTCCCGCCTCAGCGCCGCGCACAGTCGCTCGGAAAGCGTGCAACACTTACAAGGTCGGAGGGCGATTCCTTTTCAAACTCGGGCTCTCGCTTCAGCGCCGCGCGCATTAGCCTTTCAAGCTGTAACAGTTACAAGGATGGAGGTCGGCTCTTTTTCGAGATCGGTGTCGTGCTTAAGGCTTCCTTGAATTGAAAGTGAAGGAACTTGAACATATGTATCAGCTGCACGCATGGACGCAATCTCAGTTTCGAGATGGGGTTCCCGCTTCACTATAAGCAGAATCTTGCGCTGCACTTAGACGGTGGGTAGCCGTTCTTTTCAAAACGGGGATCGCGTTGGACACCTCGTCGGACTGTACGGTCATACTTTCCTCCTGCTTCCCCCCTCGCTCTCCCATCCCCTCCTGCCTACCTCAGGCTTCCTCCCCTTCTTCCTCCCTCCTCCCTCCTCGTCCTCTTCCTCCTCCTCCTCCTCCGCCTCCTCTTCCTCTTCCTCCTCCTCCTCCCGCGGAAGCGGTAGCAAGCGCCGCAAGGGGGAGAGGGCCCTCAGAGCGGTGTGCCCCTCACCGCTCCCGCAGGCTCACTCCGTCCTCCCTCGCCCCCCGCTCTCTGTCCCGGACGCCGCGCTGCCTGGCGCAGTACCGCTGCGGCCTCCAGCCCGACACGATCCAGCGGCACCCCTCGTTCGCGTCGGAAGGCTGCGGCGGGCTTGGCGAAGGGAGGGGAAGAGCAGGGCGAGGAGGAGGAGGAGGAGGAGGAGGGGGAAAAGGTGGGAGAGGAGGATGGGAGGAGGAGGAGGAGGACGACGACGACGACGAATGGACGAAACAGTCATGCAGCTGATGTTTGCTCAACGAGGAGGAGGAGGAGGAGGAGGAGGCGGAGGAGGAGGAGGAGGACGGGAAGGGGTGGAGGAGGGGGAGGGCGACGACGACGACGAAGACGGCGCGTGCGAGAGAGACAGGGAGAGAGAGAGAGAGAGAGCGTGAACGACAGTAGGAGGAAGAGAGAGAGAAACAGAAACAACATGCCCTGCGACGTACCTACGTAACCCTTGTTCTCCACATGTGGCGACGATATTCGAGACCGATCAACACAAACGAACATGTTGAAGGACCCGCAGGATCCCACGAAAGTGGCGACGGTTGCGTTGTTCGCAGTCCCCCAGTAAGCCGCGAGGTCTCGGCTGGGTGCGTTTACAACTCAAACCCGCTGGGCCTCCCAGGAGCCCACGAAAGTGACGACAGTTGCGCACTTCGCAGCCCCCCCCAGGGAGTCGCGAGGTTTCGGTTGGGTGTGTGTACAGCTGCACTTCGCTGGGCCTCCCTGGAGCCCACGAAACTGGCGACAGTTGTGCACTTCGCCATCCCTCAAGGGAACCGCGAGGTCTCGGCTGGGCGTGCTTACAACTCCACCATGCTGGGCCTCCCAGGAGCCCACGAAAGTGGCAACAGTTGCACACTTCGCAGCCACCTGGGGAGCTGCGAGGTCTCGGCTGGGTGTGTTTACAATTCCACTCCTCCCAGGAGCCCACGAAACTGGCGACAGTTGCGTAGTTCGCAGTCCGCCAGGAAGCCGCGAGGTCTCGGCTGGGTGTGTTTACAACTCCACTCTGCTGAGCCTCCCAGGAGCCCACGAAAGTGGCGACAGTTGCACACTTCGCAGCCACCCCATGGAGCCGCGAGGTCTCGACTGCGTGCGTTTACATCTGCACTCCGCTGGGCCTCCCAGGAGCCCACTAAACTGGCGACAGCTTCACATCTCGAAGCCCCTAGGGAGCCGCGAGGCCCCCACTCCCAAGAGCACACGAGAGAGGCAGAGTCACAACGGGGCTGCAGCGCAAGCAGGAAGAAGGAGAGAAGGGAGGAGGAAGAGAAGGAAGAGGAGAGGAGGCAGGAAGTAGGAGGCAGGAGGCAGAAGGGGGGCAGGAGGAGGAAGGAGGAGACTCGGCCACAATGCTTTATTCAAAAACGAGAAAAATATAGATTCTTATTCTTATATACTTATTACCCGGAACCCCCCCACCTCCCCCCCTAAACCGGACACCCCCCCCAGGACACCCCAGACGCCCTTGCTCTCCACCCAACGAACGCCCTGGACGCCCTTTCGGAGTCCCGGCGGCCTCCCGGGCAGTTGGACGCCCCTGCCGATCGGAGCCCACGGGCCCCAAACGGGCCCCAAGAGCCAAAAATCGCCCCATTCCCTGAGGAGACGATCAAGAGAAGCCCAAGGCGGCCCAAGAGGGGCCCCAGAGGGCCCCGAGAACTCCCAAGAGAGCCCCACGAGAGCCACAGGAGGCCCCCAAGAGTGTCCCAAGAGGGCCCCGGAAAAGCCCCTGGCCGGCCTGGCCTCCCAAAAAGGCCAAAGGAGGGTTCCGGGACGGCCCAAGAGGGCTCCAAGACGGGCCAAAACAGCCCCAAAAGGAGCCCTCTGGTCCGGAGAGTCACCAGGAGCTCAAACGCGAGCCCACACCGTTCCAATACTGTATAGCTTCCAGCAGTTCTCTTACACCCCACGAGGCCGTAGTTCGCAGGACGGTGGTTCGAAAGGACCTCAGAAGCCCCACAAGCGTCCAGGACCCCTCCAGGCATTCAGGAACCGACCAATCGTCGTCGCCGCCGCCGTCGTCGTCGTCGTCGCCCTACGGAGGAGCAGGAGGTCTCGGCCTGTCATCGCGGGCTGCCGCCTCATTATTGCGTAGCCCGCTTACTGACGCCCCGAGGAGGAGCAGGAGGAGGAGGACGACGACGACGAGGAAGGGCCAAGTTTCTTAGCGCTTCTGGTCCCATTGGGAGCTTCAGAGGCCCTCGAGAGACGAGCGCCCCATCTGCAGTTCAGACGAGAGCCCCATCGTCGTCGTCGTCGTCGTCGTCGTCGTCGTCGTCGTCGTCGTCGTCGTCGTCGTCGTCGTCGTCGTCGTCGTCGTCGTCGTCGTCGTTGTCGTCGGCGTCGTCGTCGTCGTCGTCGTGGCGGTTGTGGTGTTGGTGGTGCTGGTGGTGGTGGTGGTCCTCGTGATCGTGGTCGTATTCGTGGGCTGAAAGAGCGTGTTCTACCGCTGCTGGCGGAAAACCGGGGGGGGTCACTACCGGTTCGAATTCCTCCCCCCCCTTCGGAAAACCGGGGGGGGTCACTACCAGTTCGAACCCCTCCCCCCCCTCCCCCCCCCCAGTCCATCATGAAAAGGGGGGGGGGAACCCCCCCCCCTCGAAAACCGGGGAGGGGGTGCGGAGTGGTGGGGACGGTGGTGGTGGGGACAGTGGTGAGGGGACAGCGGGACAGTGGTGAGGACAGTGGGACAGTGGTGGGGTCGGTAGTGGTGGGGACAGTGGTGAGGACAATGGTGGGAACAGTGGGGACAGTGGGACAGTGGTGGGGACGGTGGTGGTGGGGACAGTGGTGTGGGGACAGTGGGAATGTGGTGGAAACAGTAGGACAGTGGAGGGTACAGTGGTGGTGGGGACAGTGGTGAAGGCGGTGGCGAGGACGGCGGTGGGACAATGGGACAGAGGTACAGTGGGGACAGTGGTGGGGACAGTGGGGACAGTGGTGGGAACAGTGGGACAGCTCAGTGGGACAGCGGAGGAGTCAGTGGGACAGTGGGGACAGTGGGGATAGTCGGGCAGTGGTTGGGGCCGTGGAGAAAGTGGGGAGAGTGGAACCGTGGTGGGAACAGTGGTGGGGACAGTGGGGACAGTGCGACAGTGGTGGTGGCACTGGTGGGGACCGTAGGGGCGGTGGTGGAACCAGCGGGGACAGTGGTGGTGAGGACAGTGGTGCTGGGAATAACAATGGGGGATGTGGTGAGGACGGTGGTAGGGACCGGGAGTCGTTTGCTGGCGGCGAGGGGGGGGGGAGGGTTTTTCAACCTTCGAGAGACGGGAGGGGGGGGGGTTCGAACCGGTAGTGACCCCCCCGGTTTTCGAAGGGGACGGGGGGGGGGGAGGGGTTAGGGGAGGGGGGGGTTTGCCGGGGGAGGGGAAGGGAAGGGGGGGGTCCAGCAGGGGGGGGGGGGGGGGGGGGGATTTTCGGAGGGGAGGGGGGACCCCCGGGTTCCGGAGGAAGAGGGGGGGGAATCTTCCACAGTAAAGCGGCGGTGGATCACGCTCTCTCCGTGGTCTCGACGCCCCCTCTGCTGAAGCACGCGATGACGGCGATGACGCATTGCTTTTCCGAAACGCGTCCGGAACAAGGCGCACGGCGCGAAGCGCCAATGCAGTCTTGTGTATATATCTATACCTATACGACCACCCTTCGGGTGATAAGGAGGTTGTGGGGGGGAGGGGGTATCCAACATCTGACTCAATCGATCTCACAATCGATCCCACTCAACGGGACACCACGGGACACTTGTCGATCTCACTATCGATCTCACTCAACGGGACACCACGGGACACCGCGGGACATCTCTCGATGTCACTATCGATCTCACTATCGATCTCACTCAGCGGGATACCATAGGACACCACGGGACACCTCGGGACACCACATCGATCTCACGATCGATTTCACTATGGATCTCACTCAACGGGACACCACGGGACACCTGTCGATCTCACTACGGGACACCTCGGGGCACCACATCGATCTCACGATCGATCTCACTCAACGGGACACCACGGGACACCATGGGACACCTGTCGATATCACTATCGATCTCACTCAACGGGACACCTCGGGGCACCACATCGATCTCACTATCGATCTCACGATCGATCTCACTCAACGGGACACCATAGGACACCACGGGACACCGGCGGGACACCGCGAGGCACCGGCCGCCGGAGGAGGAACATTTGGTTTGGCCACGGCCCAGCCACAGGAAGATTTCGGGACACCCGCGGGACACCGGCGGGACACCGCGCGGCACCGGCCGCCGGAGGAGGAACATTTTGTCCGGCCGCGGCCCAGCCACAGGAGGATTTCCTCTCGCCCGCCCACGCAGCTTCGCCTCGCCCGCACGCACGCACGGCACGCACGACACGAACCCAAAACCGAAATCAATTTCCCGGTGGGGGGGGTCTCCGTTTCACGTCGGACTCGCCCCTCAACCTCAGATATATATATATATATATATATATATATATGTGTGTGTGTGTGTAAAAAGAAGATATGTGTATAGAGAGAGAGAGATTGAAAGAAAGAGAGAAAGAAAGAAAGAAGAAAGAAAGGGAGAGAGAAGACAGAGAGGAAGAGGCAGAGCGAGAGAGGGAGAGGAAGAGGGAGAATGAGGGAAAGAGAGAGAGAGAGACAGACAGACAGACAGACAGACAGACAGACAGACAGACAGACAGACAGAGACAGACAGACAGACAGACAGACAGACAGAGGGGGAGGGGAGACTCTCCGTTCCTCACTCTTCCCCCTTTCTCCCCGCGTCGTCCACCCCCACCCCACCTACACCCACAGACCTTGCTAACGATCGCTGCGGATCATGTTCACGCGTTGCATAGTTGATTCCTCTCTGGGCAAGTTCAGACAACTTCTTTCGGAATGCACGCGTCGTCCGACAGCCAAGGCGCAGGACCACTGGTCAAGAGAGCCAGGTGAGGCCCCCGCCCGAAGGAGCCATGCATTGAGGCGGATGCCGCTCCGATCCGAGAATAACCCTGGGTTGCGGGGCGCTCGTCAAAAAATCCCCCCCTCCCCGCCTCCCCTCCTCCGCCCCGGCCCTTCCCCCTCCAGGGAGGGGTGGGCGGGCGGGAAGCAGGCGCTCGGCTGCCCTCTCCACCGCCGCCGCCCCCCCCCTCCCCAACCTCACCCACTCCCGGAGCACACGGCGCCAGGCAGCGCGCAGGGCGGTACATGGGGCCGCGCGGCGGCGAGCTCCGCGGGGCCCAGGCCACTTGCGAGCGGCGTTGCCCACCACCTCCCCCCTTCTCCTCCTCCTCCTCCTCCTCCTCCTCCTCCTCCTCCTCCTCCTCGTCTTCGTCATCATCAGCATCATCAGCATCAGCATCAGCATCAGCATCAACAGCATCAGCATCAGCTTCAGCATCATCATCATCATCATCATCATCATCATCATCATCATCATCATCATCATCATCATCATCATCATCATCAGCATCAGCATCAGCATCAGCATCAGCATCATCATCGTCATCGGCATCGTCATCGTCCTTTTTCCAGGTCTGCCTCTTTCTATATTTCCCGTCTTGTTCCTTTTCGTCGTTGTGGTTATCAGTTGAGGGGTTGTCGTTAACTCTCATTCCCCGAGTGGCGTGTGTGTAGGAGGAATTTGAGAGAGTAAGAAACATGCGTTGCGCAACAAAAATCGGCACCGTCATCATCGCCGTCCTCGTCATCGTCGCCAGCATCATCGGAAATATCAGCATCATCATCAGCAGCAGCATCATTATCATCATCATTCTCAGCCCTCATCCTCAGCAGCAGCATCAGCATCAGCATCATAATCATCTTCAGTGTATGCATCATCTTCACCCTCGCCGTCCCATCAACATCAACATCATCATCAGCAGCAGCATCATCATCGTCATCATCAATCACACAATCATCTCATCACCTCGTGAAGTTACCGAATGAGACCTAGTTGGAGTATCACGGCTTCCGTATCGTCTGTGTGGTCATCTGGTGTAGCCGACATGGAGCATGACAGCTAGTTGACCACATTGTAGCAGTGTTCGTCGTTGCGTGTCCTGTCGCTCTGCCTCGTTTCGTCTTGTCTCGTCGTTCTGTCGCCTCCCCTCTCGTTTCCCGTCCCCTCGCGTTGTCGTTCCTGCGCTTTGGCGCTGTCCTCCCTCCCCCCTCGGCCCCGCCGTCCTCCTCTTCTTCGTTCCGGTGTCGTCCTCAGTGGGCCGTCCCCGCGGGGGCGGGGGTCTCGGAGGGCGTTTGCTGTCGGTGCCTGTTTTATGGCGGCTGCATTGCTGAAAACAAACGTGGAGCAGGCATGTAGAGCGGGGGTACCAAACACACACCGCACGCACACATACACACACACATACACACAACATACACATGCCGTCATCATCATCACCATCACCATCCTTAACCACAACATCAACAACAAGATCATCATCAGCAGCATCATCATCACCACCATCAACGTCATCAGAATTGTCATCATCATCACCATCATCATCATATTCATCATCATCAACATCAACATCAGCATCAGCATCATCAACAGCATCAGCATTAGCATCAGCATAATCATCATCATCATCGGCATCATCGTCGCTGTCACCATCACCATCACCATCTTCACCTGTCGTCGTCGACGTCATCACCGTCATCATCGTCGTCGTCACCGTCACCATCACCATCATCAGCTCCATCAGCATCAACAGCATCATCATCATCAGCAGCATCATCAGCATCAGCATCAGCAGCATCAACAGCATCATCATCATCATCATCAGCAGCATCATCAGCATCATCATCAGCATCATCAGCACCAACGACGCCAAGATCACCATCAACAGAATCATGACCATCATCATCAAAATCCACAGCTTCATCGTCCTCGTCATCATCTCCGCCGTCGTCGTCATCATCATCAACAGTAGCATCGCCTCATCATCACCAACAGCAGCAGCATTAGCAGCATCATCACTGTTATTATCCTCATCATCAGCATCATCGTCCTCATCATCGTCATCAGCATCATCATCAGCAGCATCGTGGTCATCACCATCATCGTCGTCATCATCATCGTCATCATCGTCATCATCAACATCAACATCCTGATCATCAGCGTCGTCCTCGTCCTCGCCCGCCCCGCCATGAGCCATTCCACCCCTGCGCTTGCCCCATGGTCGCAGGCCTGCTCGGCGAGCGCTCGCGGCCGGGCGAGGTGCTGGCGAAGCAGCGCGCGCAGCAAGCCGACCGCTTGCGCGCTGGTGGCGCGCCGCCGGCGGAGTGGCAGCCCGCCAGGCGCGGGCCGCGGCCGGGTGCCTCGACGCAGGAGCTCGCGGCGTGGCACGCTGCGGAGCTGGGGCCGACGGCGGGGACGCAGGGCTCTCTGCGGGAGCGGCGGGCGGCGGGGGCCAGCGAATCGGCCGTGCACGGAGCGGCCGACGAAGCAGCGCAGCGGGATGGCCTCGCGCTGAGGGGGGCGGGCCCAGGGGACGCCGCGCTCCCGCGGCTGCCAGCAGCGCCGCCGTCTCAACCTGCGCCGTGGGCGTGGGCAGGGAGGAGGGCGCGCGGGCTGGGCGCGCGGGGGCCGGCGCGCTTCGGCGGTTGTGCATCGCGGGGCTCGGCGGGCCGTCGCTACGGCGCCCGTGCACGTCAAGCACGCGCGGCGGGCCGCACTCGCGGCGCGCAGCGGGGGGCAGCAGTATAGCGTTTTGGGCGTGAGTGGAAGACGGGGCGGACGAATAGCACATGATTGTTGCAGGTTCGCGCCGCTTCGACGCAGCGGTCACCCCAGCGCGGGCGTTCAAGGTTGAGCGCCGCCACAGGCCCACAATCGGCCAGTCTCGGACAATCTGAACCGTCTCTCTTGCTTTTGATGTTGGGGAGGCAGTTCTGGCGTCGCGGTGACTGGATTATAGAGCACCCACTGCGTCATATTGGTAGTACGCACGCCAGAGTTGGCCCACAGCAAGAGCAGGAGGAACATCGCATGCGCCGCGGTGCAGGGCGGCACGTCCGACGAGCTCCCATGGGAGAAAAGTGATAAGTTGTAGTTATGTGTTGGGGTCGATGCGAGAGCTCGCCGCCAGGGTCGCGGATATGGCAGCCATTTGGCCAGCGGGCCCCGCCGACGACCCGCGGGCATGGGCACGTCGGGCAGCAGCAGCAGAGGCGTGAGCGCGTCTGTGCAGCGCATGCCGCACCCGCTCGCGGGCCCACTGGGCCCTGGGCCCCCTGGCGGAGCCCGACGGCGAGGACCATGCCGCACGGGCCACGGTGCAGACCACGGAGGCGCACGACGCGGAGGGCGGCCGTCTCCCCGCGGAGTCCGCGGCGCCTCGCCTCGGCCAGGCGGGGGGGCCCGCCGCCGCCGTGGGCCGTGGGGCGGACAGGGCGGCACTGCCGAACGCCATGGCCGCGGGGGGGGGGCCGCGGGCGCCCGCGGGCGCACGGAGCCGCGCAGCAGCCGCCGGCCCGACACCCCCGGCAGCGGCGGAGGGCGGCGCACGGGCAGCAGCGGGCGCGACGACGGGCTCGGCGAGGGCGGCACCTCGAGGCTCGAGGGCTGGAAAAATGATAGCTGAAGTTCCCAACTGAGCAGTACCGCGTGTCGAAAGATGCAGGGATGAGTGACGTTCGATTCTGGCGTTGCGGACTGAATCGTTGGGGGTTTGGCGCTCTCGATCTTTGCTTGCAGGCCTGGGAGCATCGAGACCTGAAAGTGCAAATCGGTTCATGCGTTCTCCATTGGTTAGTGATGCTCCTCTTCCTAGTTCTCTCTTGCTGAGCCTGGTTCTTTTCTCGCCCTCGTTTCTCTTTTTACGCCTCCTCCTCCATTTTCGTCCCTCCTCTTCCCTCTCCACTTCCTCTCCCTCATGTTCCTTTGCCTTCTCGACCTTCCTCAAAGTGGCAGGGCGGACTTTCAACCAAGCGATCGGGCGGACATTAGCGGGCGGTCTGGACTGGCCAGGCGGGCGGGTGGACCCCAACAGACGGGTCGTGCGGGCAGGCAGACCTTCGGGCTGGTCGGAATGGATATTAAAGCAAGCGGGTGGGATCCTTCTCAGGAGCAGCCGCCCCCTCCGCGTCGTCCTCGTCGGCATGATTTCAGCAGCATCACCATCATGACCATCATGACTATCATGACCATCATCCGCATCATGATCACCATCCTAACCTTCGTCGGCATCATCGCCATCATGACCATCATCCTCATCCTCTGGGCGTTTCTGGTCCACACGGTCATCGTCCCACTCCGTCCACCCGCCTGCCTGTCCTCATCTTCATCCTCACCATCATACTTACGACCACCTTGAACCTGCTTGGGGCTTTCTTGGAGCCTTCTCGGGTGCCCCGAGAGGGGCACGAGACGCATGTACTTAGGCACCCGCCTGGCAAGCCCAGAAGCACGTCAAGTACATGCCCATTGGGGCCTGCTTGCCCCCACCCCTCGAGCGTTATCGGGGCCCTCTTGGGCAATGTTGGGGCCTTCTGGAGGGCTCCACGGAGGGAAAGGAAGAGGATAAGGCGGAGGAGGAGGAGGAGGAGGAGAAGGGTGTGGGTCCGTAGCCATGTTGGCCCAAGCCAGGTTAAAGCCAGGATGATGTGAAGCAAGTCGCTTGTTTCAAGCATGGCAGTATTGTGGCGAAGATGCGTCCTGGTGGCGTTTCAGATTGCCATCCACTTCGTGATGTTGCGCACTCTGGATACCTAATCCCCTCGACTGCGGTTGCAATCGCGGGGGGTGGAAGGCATCTGTGGCTCGTGGATTGCAAAGGTACTACGTCGTTTGAACACGGCGGCGAGTAACGCCAGTCATGCACAAAATATGTATTGTAGAGGCTTCTGGCCGGTGCCGCCGATCCGGGACGATCCCGCTGTCAGAAGGACGCTTTCGCCCCAGCGCGCTTGTTCAAACGCAAGTGGTTTGGAAACAGCTTGGAGGCATTGCGTGGGCTTCTTGAGGGGCCTCTACGACACACCTTCGAGGCCTCCTGGGGGGGGGTCTTGGAGGTGATTGTTGAGCCTCTTGGGGGCCTTCTGGGCTTCTTGCCGGGCATGCAGGAGGCATCCTGGAGGCCTCCTAGGGGTGTGTAGGAGGTAATTTTTAAGCCTTTGGGAGCGCTTTTGGGCGCCTTTGGGGGGCCTCTTGAGGGCCACTTGGAGCCTCTCGGGGTCTCTTGGGGACTCCTAGGGCCATTTTGGTGCCTCCTGGGCGCCTCTTGGGCCCTTCTGGGGCCGTC